AGTTTAGTTCATTTGAATTTCAATATACTTGTACATATATCAATAAACGTGTATATCGATGTGCTTTAGCAAGGTATCCGATGGTTTGTTAAATCGCATGAAATGATTCAGTTACTATACCATTTCCATTATGTGATTTTTTTAAGCTTTTGTTACTATATAATATCCCTTGAGAATTGCTAGAGGTTACCTTTTCTATCTTCATTCTTTGCTTCGAATCACTCGTTATCGAATTTCAATATTTTAAATTTAAATAGATATACATATATCAATAAAAGTAAAATATAATGTCAGATGAAAACCAGAAAAGGGGAAATAAAATTAGTAGTACATTTTCAAAAATCATTTGACCTCCCACGAGATCATTAACGTACCGAAATGTCTCCCATGCTCACTCTATCACCACAAAGGGAATGCATGTCAACGTACGAAAACAGCGCCATTTATATGACGAATAATAGAAAATACCCTCTATTAAAAAACAAGTGGGAATCACAATGGGGATCGAACCTTGGCCCTTGCAATCCACTCCAAGTTAGGGTTGTGCGTGACTTGAATTGCTAATGGATTTTTAAACATGTTTATTTTGTCGTAGAGACGTTGGACGTAGGTGTTTTTGGTGTGCGACAAGAATATAAACATCTGTAATGTAATTCTTTTGAGCTATCTGATTGAAATTATCTTGAATTGAAGAAAGTTGGACGTGAATTGGTCAGCCGAGTATTTTAAAAATGTATTTTTAATATATTATTAAATATTTTATATATAATTGAGTTAAGCTACATAATCAATAAAAATAAGAGTAGGAATAAATAATCTCGGAAATTGATTAACAATATACCAAACATAAATGAAGCCAAAGAAATTACTTATTATTTAAAAATATTGAATCACAACAAAACAATCGCCAACCCTAATAAACCAACCCTGCATCCCTTGTGAAGTATTGAGTGTATCAACGGTATCGGTAGTTGGATTTGTTTGAATTTGGTCTTATTAATTAACCAAATAAAACACTAGAATCCACCTCTTCGGTGCACCCTTCATGATTTACTATTTGTGACTGAAGCTCTTGATCAACTACAAATGAAGCTCGATTGAGATAACTCTTACAAATGTGCATTCATCTATATGTAGAAACCAATGTAAAAAGGGTTTATAATTGAAATCATTTTTTTATGTAACTGTCCTTAGTCAACAAAAAAAACTATTTAACTATCTCAACACGAAATGTTAAACAAAATTTGACTTACAATATCGTATATTATTTAAGTTTAAATCTTCCATTCATTCATTATGTATAAATGGTTTTAAAAGATTTAATCTGCAAGATAAATGGCTATGATAAGCCGATGATGTAACGATAATTTTATAAGAGTTCACTATCACTGATCCAATCGTCCGTCGCTCTTAATGTTGGCTTCAGCAAAAATTGAAAAGGAAAATATTGCAATTTGTCGATGATCGACAGGCATTTGATGATTATTTATGTTATTTGAGATAGATATACACATAAATAGAGGAAATGAAAAATTATACAGAATTATGAAAATTATTAAAAAAGGTATTAAATATGAGTAATATAGGTATAAGCAACTGATATACATTCCTTTCTCCAATTTGTCATATCTTTCATTTAATAAAATGTAATAAATAGTTCTATTCGTGCAAATCTTCAATAAATCACGTTCGTAACACCGCATAATTTAATCGTTTCACCGCAGGCTATGAAGCTAAACCGATATTAATGTCTTCACAACTAGTAGCCCAAGGCGTGCGATTCTTTGCGAGCGCGTCCAATTACACCTAACCGCCAATTAGGAAAGTGGCGCCCGACGTGGGACCGTGCCTCTGAATGTATTGTTCAAATTATCGTTGCATACTCGCATAACGAGGGCTGAAACTATTAAACTATTCTTCGTTGTTTAGTTATTTATCTTTTGTACTGGTTTTATAGAAGCAAAATGTTTGTGGTAAAATGAAATTCGCCGTGTTATACGTAATGTATTAAGATTTTACATATGTATTTACTTAAGCATGATTACGCGTAGTGAAACAATGTTAATAAAACTATTAAAGCCAACAAAGAAAGTATAAATATTATTTTTAATGTTAATATACAGTCTTTTGTTAAAGCAATAAGTTTACTTTAACCACGCGTAAGGCAGTACATGTGACTATGTTGACATGTTTAACAGAACAGTCATAAATTTGAAAGTTCTCGAGCCAGTTATGCATACTCATCACTTGATTGCAATGCCCACCAACGTCGTTGAATCCAGATAAATTGGAAACCTTAGAAAAAATATTTAAAATGACAATATCCGTAGCTTTCAAACAATAAAAGGGAGTGTGCGTTCGAATTTTAATGGGGCAGGACGTTCAACGAGATTGTTTCGAAATTAAAAAGTAGGTGCGAGTGAGAGGTTATAAATTGTGAGTATTCCCGTCCCTATCTTTCCGGCACGTGGCCATCTCGTCTATGAATATTGATACGTCTCATTATACATCGGATGCTTGAGTTACCGGAGTTTAAATGTCATTTGTCTTACAACAATTAAAAATATAATGATGTTTCTTAAATGTGAAACTTCTCAAATAGGACGATCTCACGAAATATTTACAATTAAATCTTAACATTTCCTAGAATATAGAATAGTAAATAATATTATATCAAAGTGTCTTTATCAATTACACCTTACCACCTGTTAATAACCCCGGGTAAACAAACAGATCCAAAATACAATACGCAAACCCGTCAGTAGCCTCAGGCGGGGGTGGGGGCACGGTTCCTTTGAAGTGCCGTCTGCGAACGAAAGCTGGCTAACCAACGCTTAGCTTTGTTTTCTAGTTAAATGATAGACGTTTTCAGGAATTAGCTGCGGGTGACGTCTTACGGTCCTACGGTTATGGGAATTGATTAAACTTTTTTAATTAAAAATCAATCTGTATAGTTTAACGTTCTCGTACATATCTATACATATGATAAAATTCTAAGTCGAATCTGTACATTAAATATTTTTTGGAAAATCTTATTGAAATAGACATTATTATCGATACAGAGGCCGAATCTATAGTTTTTAGAATTTTTGTCTGTCTGTCTGTCTGTCTGTTACCGCATCAGGGAAAAACCACTAGAGCGATTTTGATGAAATTTGGTATTGTGATAGCTGGTTATCCGGGTCAACATTTAAGATAAAACTTTTTACCTCGGGAAAATATCCCATTTCTCAGAAAAAAATACACAAACTGCGAAGTAAGAGTATACTAATATTTATGTAAAACCTAAGACTTTGGTTTTTGGTCATCTGAACGCGGGCGGAGCCGCGGGCAATGCTAGTTTTCAATATAAGCTGTGAAACTAATAGAGCATGTTGTATATAGAAGTGTCTTATTTCGTTGTATGTAACGATATTATAAAACAAATAATTATTACTAGCATGTCATGTAAGCTTAAAAACACAAATGTCACTGCATGTATGATAATCGAATGTTATTCCTCAGCTGCCTGACTAACATAATATTTACGTATACTTGTATATTAGGTCATTTGACCTATTATTTTTTCATGCGGCAATACATATTTATTTGACAAAATACCATTTTCCGCAGTCTAGATAATGGATCTATCATCCTTTGACATGTTAATCCTTGTGTATATTTTAGGGTTTTTGTATTACCGTATCCTACTTCACGTCACCTGTTCAATTTGTAGCTGTTTTTTGCTAAATTTAGTATTTGATACGTAATAAATACAAAATATTCAAAAATGGGTTACAACAAACAACGTTATTTGATTATTTTCAATGTCATTAAAATATATACTTATACCTACAACTGATATACTATTCACTTGTTTTAATCGTATAATATATCAAATATTTGCTATTTATAGAATTTTAACCTGTTTCAAAAGATAATTGAGTCATTTTTCAACTAGTGTTACATAAAAAGACTAAGGTTTTGAAAAAAATCTCCACAAATTGTAATATTTCCTACAGAGAGTTAAAAAACGAGTGCATTAATTCGCCCTTTCCCCCGTCACATAAATAAAACATCGTGTCCCCATATGATGCGATATTATCAAGCAATTTGCATGCTACTAATCTATTCAAATTAGAGCGTTTTCTTTGATGTCTCCATGAATTACGTTTAACCTTTGTGCCTGTTTTGATATTTTTATTGCTCGTATGTCGCCGTGACGCTTGGGTACTTTATATTTGTGACAGCTCGATCTGATATACGAATATTCCTCTTTGGGCATAGGTTACTTGGACACGGCAAATACGGGAAATATTTTAGAATTGGTATAACCAATTACTAACATACATAATATGTAGAGCATTAAAAATCATTGTTCTACTTCAAACAAATATTTTTTTATTTACAAGTAGCCAAAAGAACAAAAATATGCAATTCGATACGTTGCCAATATATTTAAGAAGTCAGTATAAAAGCTAGATTAATAACATCGCAGTGTCATCTCTTGAGAAGAAATGATATTAGAATCAAGCGCCCCGTAGTGGGCGGCGCCGAGTGACGCTGGATGCGTAACAAATAGAAATTTATAAACCGACTCATTAAACCTACACAAAATGTTCTTGTGTCATCGCATATTCAGTTTAAAGCTCAATAGAACTAGTTGAGTTTTATATTATATCTAAAGTTTTATCAAACGTCTTTTAGTTGTTTTTATATAGATTTTATACCTGCTTTTTTCAATTTCTTGTTTACGTCGTTATGCAGAAAACAAATTGTTTTAACTCCAATAAAATAAATAGTAATAATACTATACCTTGATAGAGTTTCTCAGGCTAACATTGGTCAAACTTATAACGCCATGTTGAAATCAATCCAGTGAGTTAAGAGATGAACGCAGCCATACAACTAGACAGACGTCAATACGCGAAGGAATATTTACTACAATTTTAATATATAATAAATATTCTCAATGACGAAAAACTTAATCTAAAATATTATCAAAATTTGTTTATCCTTACTTTTAGCAGACGTTCATCGAATACCTACCTGAAACAAAGAATCATTTTTTAATATTATACAGACAGAGTTTAAACAGTACGTACACGGTAATATTACATGCATTACATTATATATAGTACGTATATCGAACTTATTTATAAGTTTATAGTTTGTGGCTTTAGCCACACATGACATGTATTTCTATAAGCGGAATATTGACTAACCTTATTTAATTATTTAAAACACATCGATATTTTGAAAAAGTTTTGGTCGCAGTTTCACTCCTTGACTTGGTATTTTGGCAGAATTTTAAAATTTAATGTGATGAAATTAAATATTGGGATTAGGAAATATTAAATAAATTATATCACACAGTTTTAGTAAGTACTAGTATATAGTAAGTAATATTGTAGATTGTTGTTTGATTTTCTACGTTTATATACCTATACATAATCCACCAACTGCCTCGGTGGTGTAGTGGCTAGCATGTACGGCTGCACACCCGGAGGTCTTGGGTTCGAGTCCCGGGTCGGGCTAGGTTTAGTTATTGAGAATTTCTGTATAGTAAGCCCCAGTAAAAGCCTGGAGTTGGGAAGTTGACGGTTTTTCACCCCTGTTCCCCGGAGAGCACATAAAGCCGTCCGTCCTGCACCTTAACTCTCACCGGTCGTGTCGAGCAGTCGTCCCACCGGAGTATGAGAGTGACAAGAATAGAGAGTGCAATTGTGTGTGTGCGCACACTTGTGCACTATAATATCTCCTACGCAGTTGGCTAGTCTCAATGAGATTGGCCACCGTGGCCGAAATCGGTCAGGGGGACATTATACATAATCAAATTCACAGTGAAAGGTTAGTATTATAATATCAGACTAAAACCGTGTTTTAAATTTTATTTAAGTTCTACAGCTGAAAATTGTCAAATATAGAGCCCTAAAATGGTTTATTTAACCGGAAAATAAGCAAATATAACCGCAAAAACCCCCTTTAAATTCCTTTACTTAAAATTTAATATAATTAAGTACATTATGTAGGCTTATTTATATTTTATAACAAAGTCGATTATAATATTTTCTGCTGTGATCCACACAAGCGCAGCCGCGGGCCGCTATTCAAGCATAATATTTATACCAGCTATCACTCGTCTTATCTTCATCTCGACTTTTTGAGTCACTAAGCTTTGCTCAAGGCTTTGATAAGGAGCTCGGATTTTTCGCTATCTCCTTACAAATGTAAGAATTTGAGACATCTTTATTTATTTAAAAGATTAAAAACACAAAAATCTTCATCATATAAAACACTTTTGAAATAATACAGCCATTTGTTTATGTGAATTTAAGTTTGAAATAAAAAGCTCTCTATGCTTTAGTTTATTAAAACATAATAATTTTATTCGTTTTATCAAAATATAAAATCTATATAAAAAAAGAGATTTTATATTGTGATAAAATTAATGCTAACGTACATACTCCTAGTTTTAACGTGGGGTAAATCGTCTGAAGATATATTATTAATTAAATTACACCTACTCCAAGCAAAAAGCTGTTATCACGAAGCCCGATCGTTATCAACATCGCTCGAAGCATAGCCATTTATATCCTGCGCATGCGACTATGAATTGTTCGATATATTTAACACTAGAACACGTTCTTGTTTAATTGTGCCGTATGTTTACATCTTTAGTATCAAAAATAAAGAATTAAATTGTTCACAGTATGGGTTCTTGTTATACGTTATTATCTTTTTGTATTTGTGAATATGTGAATATAAAGAACTACTTTTATTAAACTCTTTGTAGAAGCGTTTAAATGCAAATAAGCACTTTTTGTTGATTAAATCTAAATTACTTTACTTATGTTTTTTTGGTATCGCTTGTATAGACCATAAAATCTGTAGGTACATATAATAAAATTGTAACTAAGTCGAATCTGTACATTAAATATTTTTTGGAAAATCTTATTGAAATAAACATGATTATCGATATAGAGGCCGAATCTATGTTTTTTAGAATTTTTGTCTGTCTATCTGTCTGTCTGTTACCGCATCACGGAAAAATCACTGGAGGGATTTTAATGATATTTGGTATGGTGATAGCTGGTTATCCGGGTCAACATATAGGATACTTACATATACTATATAAAACCTAAGAATTTGGTTTTTGATAATCTGAACGTGGGCGGAGCCGCGGGCAATGCTAGTTATAAATTAGTTTAAACATTATATCTGCATAGCGTACTTAATATAATAACCTCACTATTAAACTATTAATTGTGTAAGTACAAAACGGTAGATACAATCGTTGTCACATAAAAAACCATTGAAAACGTGTCTTATAAAAGAAGCTTTTGAAAAGAGCTCATTAATTAAGTCTATAGACTATACTAAGGACTGTGACATCACGATAATCGAGTCACAAGCGATTACAGTCCATTTCCTTTAAGGGCTTAGGTTGATATTTCCATTAAGTTATGGTCAATAGATGGCATATTACGTGTCCGTTATACCGCTTCGGGTATAATTTTATTCTAATTTCAAAAGTAGGCGTGGTTAGCTACCGAGATACGCAAAATGGCCGACTGTATATTAATTGCTATTATTTGTGGCAGAATTGTGTTTATTTATCGGTTACACGGTGTCTTAACATTTACATCTACTGAGCTTGAATAAGAAATCGAATAACATTTTAATGTAAAATGTAACTAATTCTGTACTATAAAACGTTAATTTATATCAAATTATAAGTATAATATTAATTTTACGTGCTATATATATGTATTTTAATATTTAATAAGAAGCAATTTATTATTACATATGATACGTTTCAAGCAACATAAGTTGTAATATCGAGACACTTAAAACGTCTATAAAGAAGCAAGAATGATTTCAAATAGCACTCACGTACCATGTTCCCGAGTCTCAACCCTCAATGTTTTATCCCCTTTAAAAGCACCTCTGTCTAGGCATCAAATATTCAATGCTTTCGTCTGCCTAGGTCTTAAACACGGATTTAGGTAAAGCGTCGCAAGGTTTAACTTGAATCTGGGTGACGTTTTGTATCAATGTAGGTGACTGGGTTTTACTTCTATAAATGATAGATTTATCTTTGGAAGAGCTTTGATTTAGAGAGATATTGAAATGGTGAGTAGAATATTTTGGTTCTTTTACTAGTATATGTACATTGAATTCATAAGAATAGTACTAATATAATATAGTTAATAGTTAACCTCCTATTATACCAAATTGTGATGCCAGGCGTGTGAGCCACCACTCATTTCTCCACTTTCGCGTATTTTAAGCTGTCAAATTAATTTTTTTATGATTAAATGCGCTTTCCTCTTAAAAAAATCTTCCTTTGAAAAGGCCGAATCCGCAATATCTATCGAATTAATAAATGCCAACTAAGCACGGTTATTTTAAGATTTTTCATAAGTTTTGAAGTTACAAATAAATCATATTGTACATTCCTACTCCTTTAAAGTCGGGTCGTACACGCGTTAAATATTCAGCGTTTTCTGCCTGATAACAAACGAAGATTTAGATGTGAAGTTGCAAAGTTCACAGAATAGTAGGTGAGGCTTTTTTAAACGTTGTGTTTGAGTTTTATTTTAAGCGTTTGATTTTTATAGGTCGTATTTTTTATAACACTTGTATACTTTTTTTTTAACGTTGGGAAATGCATTTACGCACGAGGTGTGGGACTCACCGGCGTAATAATTTGGGGAATACTTGTATACCTACCTCAATTAGTGTTAAATAAAAACTAATTTATTTTTCTATTATATTTTGTTAGTACGTATCTATCGAAACTAATTAAATAAAATGTAGATTAAAATCGAATGTATATATAAAAATAATGTTGCTCACATAGCCTAAATGCAAAAAGTAAGAAGTCAACTTAAAAACTTCTGTTAATAAAGCTACGTGTGCTACTGTGCCATACATAAAACATGCATTTATTATAACTAAATCAAATTTACATACATAATGACTTATTGTTTTGATCATACAGTTATATTAATCGTTCATCGGAAGTTACTTTTAGACGTCATTCAAGGGGGCGACGTCTTGTCTGCTAAGGATATAAGTAAGGCTAGGAACATAAAGTCCTTTACTTCTAATCTTTATTTATAGACTTACTGTTGTTATTTTCATCTTATTATTATCTTATATTATTGTAAAGATAAACTTTGTTTGCTTGTATGTTTGAAAAAGATATCTCAAATACTGAGCCAATTCTAAAAACTCTTTCATGACGATACATTTATTCATCCAATACAATAGGAAGCTACTCTAAGCCTGAGTAACTTAGATAGGAGTATTTATCGTATCGCCTACGTATAAATTTTTTGAACGGAGCCCTAATTCTTTTTCTTAAATAAAGCCGTTATTCCTTATAACATCAGCTATCTGCTAGTGAAAGTCCCGTCAAAATCAGTCCAGCCGTTTCAGAGATTAGATTAGACAGACAAATATTATAAAAATTGTGTTTTTCTTAAAAGTACCGTATATAATTTTATATTTTAGTAAAAAGATGTTATTTTGACATTAAAAACAGACACTTCAATTTAATTTATCTATAAAGATGAGAACTAATACGAAATATAAATTTAAGTTTGTATGTCTTTCGGTTAATATTTACTATTCCTTCACGTTAAAATGGCCGGACATATTCTCTATGGTATTTTGTATACAGATATAACCATGGAGCACATGTGTTATTGTCAGAAATTTTACCAAAACGTGTCGCTACCTATACTTAGGTATACTAGATATTATTATAAATACAAAAGGAATCAAGGGACGCACAGAAGCGAAGATACAGTCAATTGCTAGTACTATATATTAATAATTTCATAGTGAATCATAACTATATTACTTTTTTTTATAGAACAGCAACTTGTGTTTTACACATTTCGAAGAGTAAATAATCATCTTCATCATTAGAGCACTACGAAAATGTACAAACCTAATAGCTTAATTAAAGTCAAAACTATTTAAAAGACAAAGTTAAAGAAGAACCTATAGTGAATTCTAAACCTTATTAATC